CACATCGAGATTTCAGATATAGATACAGATCCAGAACTAATGTTCCTTTTGTTTGGGCTGGCTGTTGCACAAGCAACTCAATTATGATGTAAGGCAACCGCAAGCGGCAGCGTAAAAAACATATAAATATGGCGCATACGCCGCGAAAATCCATAATTGCATTTGTTTGTTATCGCCGACGCCACGTGACCGGGTGGTTGAGGTGGTTGAGGTGGTTGAAGTGGGTGGTTGGGTGGTTGGGTGGCTGAAGTGGGTGGTTTCCTGAGTGGTGGATACAATAACAACCAGCCAGTCGGCAAGCAAAGCCCCATGTATCCGTGCCTTCGCCACGTACCGATAAACGTTTTCCCCAGCTAAATTGCCTTAACAACAAAATCAAGACAATATTAATTTAAACACATTAATAAAATATACTGCAGAATTGAGTCCACAAATCTCTAGGGTTTTGCCAATCACAAGGTATTTGTTTTATTGACTATTAGTTTAGATAATATTAATAATAAAATATATCCAAATTATGAGGGAGAGAAAAAAAAATGTTCAAAGACATTTATATAATCTACTCAGAGTATTTCCCTTAAATAAACATTCTTAAATTGTATCTGATTTTAATTATTTTATTATCCAGTATATTGGTTATATATTTATTACATTAATATTTTTATGGTAAAGAATATTTGATATTTAAAAATATTATAATTCTGTAGTTACAGGATATTTAAGAGGTTATTGGGAGAAATCGCTTTTGAGCAGGACATTCCGGGACAGGATGTTTTTATATGCATTTCGTTGCATTTCCACTTCAATTTGAACGTGCAATGTATTTTTAAGCACTCAACTGGGCGATTCAGTGGGCAACGAAAGGGGTTTTTTTGTTTTTTTTTGAGTGGAAGGGGGCGTGGCTGCTTCCATTGCATCCCCCTTTTGGAGGCAACAATTGCCAAGTGCAGCCAGCAATGATGATCATCAGCAGTGGCGGCAACATCATGATGATTGCCACTTGAGCGGGTTTTTCTCTGCTCGCTTTATTTTTTAACCCACTGAAAGCGTTCACAATTTACCCCAAGACCCCTCTCCCCCCCTCCCTCCTCTCCACTACCCACAACATGTGTGGGTGGTCAATTATTTGTTGCTATATTTATAAACTGCGACCGCTTTTGTTGTAGCTTTGGGGCGGTCTCACCAACTGCTGCATAAATTGAGACCCAGCATTTGTTTTTCCCCTTTTTTTTTTTTTAGCCAAAACCAAAAGGTGTAACTTTAACCCTGCGGTTCAAAGAAACGTGTTCAAAGCCGAATATGAAAATTGGAAAATCGGAAAATCCAGAAATCACACCCTTAGCAAAACGCCAAGTATTAAGGCGCAAACTTTTCATATAAATTACAGGCAATAATATTTATTTAAAACACCCTGCCAAATGGTTCGAGCAATTTTACGCCTTTGTTGTCCCTCTGTCAAAGTAAAAAGCACACAAGCACCTGCTTAAAAGTGCCAGCCAAGGCAAACATTTTCAGTAATTTGAAAGTAATTCGTTTAAAGAAATTTACGTGATTTGCGTAAGAAGCGAAAAGGTCGTAAGTGAGTGGGCCCGGAGTCCTGGGATATTGAGTTGTTCAATGACACGCCATATTTCCCGGGGCGGGTTAATATGTGCGCCGTTTGCGTGCCCCCGAATTATTGCCTAATCACTGCTCAGGGTCCTTGGGCCAGGATGAGCAGAGATTGGATGGGAATGGAGTGGAGATATACTTTCGAGGACAGCGACATCGGTGACCGAGCAGCGGCGAAAGTAGCCGCAAGTAAAAGTTTCTACCCTCAGCCAATTTGAAGCCAAAAGAAAATTTGTAGGCTATAGAAAGTTTTTGGCCCAAAGCACCAGCTTTTGACCAAGCTGCGGAGTAGAACTTTTCCATATATAAATGCTGGACACGGTGCAAAAATATCAAAGAAACATGAGTATGATATTCTTAGAAGTTACATTAAGTTTTATTTGTTTCTTATTAGTTATGTTTATAGAATGCAAATAAAACTATTTGTCTTTTACCATCTTGGATGTTAAGATCTTGTTTTTAAATGAGCAATCAAATATAGTCATATGTAATCTACTTTTAGTTAACTTAATTATAAGGTTAGTGGCTTTTATTGATACCCAAAATAAAAAATAGAAAACTTTTGTTGTGAACTTCACTCAAGGTTTTTTAAGGGTAATCTTTTCGATTTCCGGTTTTAAGCTACTCGAATCAGGCCTTTGGTTCTACAGATACTTATATAACTTGTTAAAATGGTAAAATGTATCTCTAACTTTTTCTCGCCGTGCATATCTGTGTGTATATACATATCTTAATATGTACCCACAGTGTTTTTTGTCCCGTTTAGTCTATCTGTTGTTTAGTGGCCCTACGGCAGTCTGAAGGGGGCGTGGGCGAGGGCGGTGGGCGGTGGGCGGTTGTGACTGGGCGTGGCATGTGGCAAAGTTTTCGCCGAGAGCCCTGCTGCCAAAATAAACAGCCAACAATGGCAAGTGGCAGCGGTTAAGCTGACAGAATGCTGAATGCGGGATGGAAGCGGATCCTGCAGGATAAGGCGCTGAAAACTCGAGGCCAGCGGCAGTCGAGGCAGTTGGGAAAGTCGGGGAAAGCGGGAAAAGCGGGGAAAAGTCGTGAAAGTCGGAAAAGTCCGGATAGTCGGGATAGTCGCTCAGCGCAAAATGAAAACAAATTGTGTTTTATATACTTTCCATTAGGGTTACTCGGGCGAGCGGTAAAATGCAAGTTGAAGGTCGTTCCCAGCCACGATGATGATGCTGATGGACTCTCCTTGCCGGATGAAGGATAAAGGATGAAGGATGATGGATAATCAGGCGACTCAGCTCCGAATAAAGTGATAAAGCACAACGTGACGGAGAAGTTCAGGTCGGATGACTTGGGGCCCAACTAGATACCGTGGTCATTTCGGGCGGTGATTTCATTGAGTTGCTCGAGTACAAATTGAGTGAGTCCAGAGTCCAGAGTCCAGCGAACGAGCAAAGTGATAAACATCGAGTGAGTGATGTGCGGTGATTAGGATGAAATCCCTAAGGACTTATGATTAAGCAGCCATAAGCTTAATAAGGCATTATTTTGTAAGACAATGTAGTGCCGGAACATTGTTAATCTTATATGCATAAATATGTTAGCTTATTTTTACCAAACAAATATGTAGTGGTTATTTATTAAGACATATATTAATTAAACACGCATAAGTAAAATAAAATCCTTTTTTTTATATAAAAAACTATGATCTAACTACTTAAAAAACATGCAAGCAGGATTATTTTTTAAATAAAAAAATCACCAAAAAACAGTCGATCTTTTAGCTGTGAATGGCAAGAAATTATGTGAGGGCTTTAAAGTTTCGCGGTTTGTTTTTCCATTGTTATTGCAATATGATTGCTTATTAAATATGAATCCTTTTCAATTTGTATTTGTAACCTAAAATGTGCTCTAAAATATGTACATAGCTAAGTCTTCAGTGCCCCTGATTCGAATACCCACCATCTACATAGATGGCAGGCCAAAATTGAAATATTAAGCCAAACAAATCAGGCTGGCATTCGACACGCGCAACGTTTATCAGTTTTTTTCTTTTCTTTTCTTTTTTTTTGGCAACGGAGTGTGCACACACACCAAACCGGAAGTCGGAGCGGAAGCGGAAACAGACGAAAAGGGCTGAAAATGGCCGGCGGCAACGATGATGATGATGATGGTGATGATGATGCCGTCTGATGTTGCTCATTCCGATATCAGGACGAAAATGAAAACGAGGACGAAACAGGAGCTCACGCGCTCATTGACGTTGAGCAACGCTTATTGGCGTACTTAATCCTTTTGGCAAATTCCAATAAATTACCAGGACGGACCAGCGACAGGCATCAAGGCCAAACATTATCCTCTGGGAGTCGTAGAAAAGGCAAAACACAGCACACAAAAAAGAAAAAAAAAAAGAAAAGAGCACAACGGAAAAAATCATCAATAGGCCATGATGAGTTTCTGATTGCAAAGCAGAAAAAAAAGGGGGGACGAAGTGCGTGGGGGACTGGCGATGATGGCTCCCTGATTGTCCGAACGATGCGGCCATGTCACGCGGGGAGTCCCGGAATGGGGATTCCCGGAGTGGGGAGTCCCGGGGTGAAGATCCCCGGACATCAGACCCTTCTCCCGGCGACTACGAGATTGGTGACTTTGGGCCAGTCATAAAATCGAACTGACGTTTTATGTGTGCTCCGGGATGCCTACCTTGGAGTCGAAGGCGAACTTAAATTGAATGCCAGCCCGAGCCCAAAATACTGCCTTCTACACTCGCAAATTGCCTTTTTCCATTTCATTCCGCAGTTCAATTATTCAATTTAAAAATGAATAGCATTGTACAATTATTAAGCTGTTTAGAAAATTAAAAATATATGCAATTTGTTTCAAAAATTGCTTATAATTATTCAGCTTATAAACACTATAACAAAATAAATGCTTTTTTTAATACCAGATCATATATTTGTTATATTTGTTTTCAAGTGCTTTCATAAAATTGTTTATACAAGAATAATGTATAATTGAACAATTTAAATAAGCAGTGTATTACTAAAAAATGAAATTGATTTTATTGTAAGTTCATGTATTTATTCCCATGAGTAAGCCTTTATTTGTGTAAAAGAACCAATATGATTGATTTACTTAACATTTAATTTAGTTGTAAATCAAAGAAAATTCCACAGTTATTTCCAATGTTTGCTTTACAAGAAGTCTTACATTTTTGCATACGTACGAAGTGTGTTTTGAAAAGCTTTTCTTGCAGTGTTCACCTTGTCTGTTGCTGTATTTTATGGCATTGTGGCGCTGGCTTATCCTTATCTCCGGCTCAACCTGCCCCTCCCCAAGTCTGCCGTTTTTATTGTAAATGCTTTGCATATTTTTGATTGGCTTCCCGACCCCTGACCAAATAAAAAAACAATAAGAATCCTTTGTTCCGGTGGCGGAAGAGGGAATGGGTGCCCCGTCCCAGACCTTCTTTAATTTTATTTGCTCTACTCCGACTCTGCGACTCCGGTGAGGACTTTACCCCCGAACAGGCTATCGTCGATGCGGCGGCAGTGGGCCATCAGGCGGGGATAGGTGGCCAGGATCTCGGCCAGCTCCATGTTGGGCATCCGGGTGGTCGCTATGGCCGCCACATGGCCAAAGACCAGGGCGTCCAGCTGACAGGGTCGCGATCCGCAGAGGTATCCCCCCGGCTGGTGCTCCTCCAGTTGGCCAATCAGCGAGCCGGCACACATGCCCACCTCGTGGAGCACCTGGTCGTTGTCCAGCTCCTGCCACTGGTACACCTTCAGGATGCGGTGTGCCTCCCTCTGCTTCGACCACCGCCGGATCAGGCTCAATGGCCATGGATGCGATGCCTCCGTGCGCGGTGCCGTGTACAGTTGGTAGTTCCCCGAGTCCACGAAGCTCATGTGGAGTTCGGCCAGCGTGAAGACATTCTCCACATAGCCCACCAGGCAGCCCACATCCTCGCGCTGATCCTCGCTCATCCAGCTGGTGGCCAGCGAGTTGGACCCCAGCATGGCCTCCACCTGGGCCACGATGGGCTCGAATTCTGCATAGGTCGAGATGGGACCCAGGCGGAGCAGGGGCAGGTGGGTCAATCGGCCGCCCGGCGACATGAACTCCGCATTCTGGCTGATCCGCTCCGAAAAGGGCAGGCCGCACATGCGCAGGTAGGTCTTCACCGCCAGGCAGCTGGAGCGCTCCGCCAGCAGCAGTTGACCCACCTCCGGCGGCTGGTGCAGGTGCGCCTCCGCCGGCCACGCCTCCTTCTCCTCCTCCGCCGCCTTGCCCGCCGGCGACTGCATCATGGCAGCGGTCAAGTTCTGCTCCAGATTCATGATCGAAGTGCCGGAAATTTTGACTAAATACGAGTGCTTTCGGTTTTTGGGCAAGCAAAATGTAGTTGAAATTTGTGGCAGTGCTGACTTACTCAATTACATCGAATTTTTTTTAATCATAACCGAAAATCATCGAAAAGTTGAAAAAAAAATGACATGAAAATGGGTCAAAAATTTGATCAACGTTAAAATGAAAATTTTGAATGCAGTTTTTAGAGAATCAAATCACGAGTCTTTAGAGGTATGCCACTTTGAAATCGGATTAAATTTGGTAAAGTTATGGACTCTGGAAGTCCAATTGTGGGTCACCTGTTTGCAAGTCATCGGAAACTTAAAAAAAATGACATGAAAATGGGTCAAAAATTTGATCAACGTTAAAATGAAAATTTTGAATGCAGTTTTTTAGAGAATCAAATCACGAGTCTTTAGAGGTATGCCACTTTGAAATCGGATTAAATTTGGTAAAGTTATGGACTCTGGAGGTCCAATTGTGGGTCACCTTTTTACAAGTCATCGGAAACTTGAAAAAAAATGACATGAAAATGGGTCAAAAATTTGATCAACGTTAAAATGAAAATTTTGAATGCAGTTTTTTAGAGAATCAAATCACGAGTCTTTAGAGGTATGCCACTTTGAAATCGGATTAAATTTGGTAAAGTTATGGACTCTGGAGGTCCAATTGTGGGTCACCTTTTTACAAGTCATCGGAAACTTGAAAAAAAATGACATGAAAATGGGTCAAAAATTTGATCAACGTTAAAATGAAAATTTTGAATGCAGTTTTTTAGAGAATCAAATCACGAGTCTTTAGGGGTATGCCACTTTGGAATCGGATTAAATTTGGTAAAGTTATGGACTCTGGAGGTCCAATTGTGGGTCATATTGAAAAACATAACAAAAAGCCCCTATTAATAAATCATATCAAAGAATGTATATCACAGGTCAAATAATTTATAATCAATAAGCAACACCGAATAAATATTTGCTAAGTACTTAATCTGCAAGGTGGGTTTAATATTTCTAGAAATAACACTTGAGCTTGTTTGTATTCAGATTTTACTTCTCATTGATTGTTTCTTGTTGTTGAGAATAAGCAAATTGATAAGTAAAAGCAAATAGGCATATAGGCACTGAAATTTGAAATGTGCAATTGCCAATTGGCAAGGAAGAAATGTGTAAGCAAATAAACTATATTTGCAATTAAGAAATTACTCGAGTTCAAACTGCCAGAGGACAATGTTGGGGTATTTGGGTTGAGGGCTGTCAGCTGTCTGCCTTTAGTTCATCGTTGACAGGATTCACTTTTCCACTGAAAAATCAGTTTCGCTTTGATGATGGAAATGTTTTGTGAATTTTCTGCTCAAATGGACATTCTGGCAATTAATCATTGGCCGACATCCCGACTCGTACTTTCCACCAGCCAGCAGCCACTCAGAGTTTGCCTAAAAGGTTTGGCCCACTCCTTGTCCCGCTGCCAAATAAGTGGAGTGGTTTTGGACGACAGCCTCGCGGGCTGGAACCGAGAACTGGAAACTGGGACCTGGGACCTGGGACCCGGGAGCTGAGATCTGAGGATGATAAATTACTCGGCCAGGCGGGACATTATGCACAGTTTGGTGGCTGCTCTGATCCAGGACTCGAGACTCGAGTAGTCCCGGAAATAAGCCAAAAGTTCTTGGCGTTCTTGGAACGTTGCATGGATCATCAGGTACGATGAGGAGGCGACAGACTCTCCATGATTGCTAATTGAATGGCCTTGGGTATATGCTTCTGCACAGAACAAAATTAGTTCATTTAAAGCCTTAAAACACTCATTTATTTAAAAACAATTGTGGGATTTCTCATAAATATTTGTTTTGTAATTTTATTTGTATTTTTTATAGAAGACATTTGAATTTTAGTCATGTATTTTTACGATTTTATTGTATTGTTGCATAATAGATTGAATTTTATGTTTAACCATTTAACAACAATTGTTGATCTTATTCATACTACAAAATATATTTATTTTGAGTGGATTTAATGTATTTTACATTATTGGTAAATAAATGTGTATATTTAAATCTCAGAAAATATTTATTTTACCCCTTGTTCTGCCCTTGTGGTTTCAATTACTGATATTTCGCTTTGTTTTAAATGTATAGTTTTAGTAGAGAATTATATTTAATTTGTAAAACTGAATTCTTGTATTGACAGCTGTAAAGTTATACATCAAATTGAATTTGATATTTTGTTTGAATTTTTGAAATATTTAAGCCCTGCTTATTTGTGTGTAGGCCTCGTTTTCATACTCGTATAGACAATTCGGCCTGCGTTGACAGCTGTGAAAATGCGCTGTACGATTGACGGATTATCCCATTTCGGGAGTCGCCTTGAGCTGATTAGTATTCCCGCGACGTTCGAGGCCCGAGACTAATTTAACGCCAAATTACGATTTTCGGATGAGAGTTTTTGATTTAGCAGCCACGTTCTAGGGAAATGAAGGAGTAAATACGAAATGCGAGGGACTGGGCAAGGCGTTGTCGTTGATTGATTTGGTCGAGGGCTTCTGGGAATTCATCGGGGCTTCGTCCTTTGACAAAGTCCCAAATTAATTAAGCCACACAGAAGCCACTTCGGTATCGAGAACGAGTGATATCCATCCGGCTGCCAGGTTGCGATGCCGAATATTCCATATAAAGGGAGTGCGGTGGCTGTTCTCGCCTGGTTGAGACATCGTTTCGGCAACAAAAGCCAACAAAAGGCAACAATTCTTACCCACTAATAAAGAATAATATGACTGCCATAAAACTCAATTTATTACCAAAATGGTCGACAAGCAGCAGACTCTACTGCGTATGTGTGCCACTTTCTCCTTCGCTTGTCTCTGTGTGCGTGTGTGTGTGAGAGAGTTACGACCAACGGAGAAAGGAGGTGAAAGGAGAACGAATGACGTACGGAAGTGGCAAACAGCAAAAGTTTATGCTGCCATTTTTGTTTGGCAATTTTCTATTTCTATTTCAATTCCAAGGCGCCGTTTTATTTGCATTTGGTGTGAGAAATGTGTGCGCGACTTGCGACCCGTTCTTGGCCTTTTACTTTATCAGTGATACCCTGTAAAAAAAGGCGGTTCAAAAGAATACTAGTTGCTTGTAGCGAAAGGGAATTATAAGTTGGGTACTTAAAGTTGAGTTATGATACTACAAGGATTGGCAAAGAAGGGACGTGACCGGCCTTTTTCCTTCAAAATGTTTATTGTATTGCTTAATGTATATTGTTATTAGTTACACGTTCTCAACGAGGCCTTTTAAACTGATAAAATTTGTTTCCTTTTATGATCAACTGTGTTTCTATGACTTATTTTTACAATTCAATTAAAAATCTGCATTACTTATTTTAGTTTCTTTATAACATTACTTCACTATACAACAAATATAATATTTTTGTCTGAAGTTTTAGTAAGGAATTAGTAGCTCACATCATTTGTTTCATAATAAGTTTTATTTTGGTTTCAGAAATATGATTTTAATAAGTAGTAGAGCAGCTAAAAATCAAGTTTTTTTTTACCACTTCTTGAAGTTGAAATACTTGTAATATGAAATATATTTGTGTATTAAAAAAAACAATTTTCATTTAACTAAGCATTTTTGATTAAAAAGATGTGATGCACATCTTTGTATGTATATACATTTCTTGTGTATAAACGTTATAAAAGTTTGTATGATATATTTTTTTGTATTTATTGTATAATTTATTATTATTTAATAGCTTTGTATAGGATACCAATGGGTTGCTACCAAAAATTCCTTAGCATCGTTAGTCTTGGCTTTTAACGTAATTCTTTCGCACGACTCCCTGGCTCCTTCCTTTGTCTTCCTGGTCTCCTGCATTCATTTCATTTTCATCTTTGTTGTGCAATTTTATTTGCTATTTTGGTTTTGTGCTCCTCCATTCCACGTTGCTGCTTGTCTTTATTATTATTTTGTTTCTACAGTTGGCGATTTGTTGCTTTTTGTGTTGGCCGTTGCCATTGTTGGATATTGCTTGATATTGTTGGCCATTGCTGGATTTTGTTGGCCAGCTGTTGGGCGCACTTCACCGGCCGCTTTGTGGCCACAATTCGGCGGAATTCGTTGGCAATGGGGACAGTTGGAGGAGCAATCCTCACTGTGGATGCTGCTAAATAACCGTTTGGCCGAGCTAATCCACGGCCACGTTGTCCATTGTCTGCGCAAGATAAGCGGCCACTCGGGCACAATCACAAGCAGATGGCAGCAGGAGTCGCACAAAGAGGGGAATCCTGTCCAAGGCCAGGACACGGAAACCGCGGCTCGAGTGCTCGGCACTTGTTAAACCATTTTGATCAGGTAAAAGTTGCCTTTATGGCACATTTTAAAACGAGAAATACACGAAAATTTAGTGGGCTAATTATTTCTGAGATAAACTTATTCGTCATGGGACTTTCGCTTTTGGAAGTCTTAGATAAAAGCCAATAAAATACAGCTAAATTTGTCTGCCTTGGGCTTCACTAGGTATACGTAATGCATTGGAGGAAGGTATTTTATGTTCAACACTGCGTATGAGTAATGTGGAATATAAGGATCTACCAAACTGGACACCTAACTTATCTTATTGCATGAAAACGGTTCTTCTTAAGATAAGCCAACTACATATACTTAATTTAATGAGTATTTTATTATGTTCAACCCTGCGTGTGAGTAATATACGTTTAACCGATCTAAAAGCATCTCTACTTTACATATGCCAAAAGTTGTATCTTTTCAATTAGATAAAAACCGATTTAGCCAATAAAATATTGCTAAATGTGTCTGCCTTGGGCTTCACTACGTATACGTAATGCATTGGAGGAAGGTATTTTATGTTCAACACTGCGTATGAGTAATGTGCGATATAAAGATCTACAAAACTGGACACCTAACTTATCTTATTGCATAAAAACGGTTCTTTTTAAGATAAGCCGACTACATATACTTAATTTGATGAGTATTTTATTATGTTCAACACTGCGTGTGAGTAATATACGTTTAACCGATCTAAAAGCATCTCTACTTTACATATGCCAAAAGTTG